TGGGGCCGGGGGGGGGGGAAAAACGAGAAAAAACAGCCCGTTTTTTGCTCATTTTTGCCCTCCCCAGCCCCCAGGAGCACTTTGCAGGACACCCAAACCCTCTACACTTTCATTTTTGCAAAGGAGGCGGGATTTTGGGAGACCAAAAATGCTGTATTCAGTGTATAAGACGCACCCAGATTTTCACCCTCTTTTTTTGGGGGGGGGAGGGTGCATCTTATACTCTGAAAAATACAGTATTCACAGTTCTGCTGTTCAAACTACTCTATTGTGTGTGTGGCTTCAAACTTAAACATTACAGCTGCCAATAGGACTATTTCCCTCTCCATAGGTTTGGTATGCCTGCAGTTTCAACTAAAGGTATGTGACTATGAGATTTAATATATATATTATTATGGTTGGTTGCCAGTCAGCCAGATGTTTAGACTGGATTTGACATTTTTATCTACCTATCCAGTCTTTTCAAAAGAAGTGGTGGAATAGGCAAATGTTGTTTGATGGTGTTAAAGGTATCATCATAGGATGAAATCTGTTCCAGGTAAAGCTGCCTTTTGCAATTTCATTGATGGTGATTTTATCCACGCTAATAGTGTTGATGTGCTCCAGATGTTTTGGTGTTTCACCCAAGGTATCCGATTGGTACCACCTTTGCTTTCTTATGCCTCAATCATTCTTATTTGTAGGTCTTTGTATTTTGTGATTTTCTATAATTCTTTTTCTTCTGTTATGCTGTCTCCAGGTACTGCCACACCCACTATCTCTATAGTTATTACTGCCACACCCACTATCTCTATAGTTATTAATTCTGAGGTGTTATGTGGCAGGTGCTTGTCTGAATTCTAAAGTCACAGAACACTTCAGATTCTTCATTTTCTATTACTTTGTCTATATTGTGGTCCCACCAATTCTTGCTTGCAGGCAAATGGTATTTCTTGCAGATATTCCAGTGTACCATTGCTGCTATTGGTCATTTGTAGTTCCAGCATCTTACTTTTGAGAACTAATAAAAAGTATCGCAAAAATTGAGACAATTTCCACATGATCATTCATAGTGACTGCTTCAGATGGATAGTTTGTCAGGCATTGAAAAACTGACACAGCCAATTTATTTGCTCATACCAATCTAAGATACCTGCCTTTGGAAGGTAATATGTTAACATATTGCAAGTGGCTCTGCTTAATTCCTACAGAAATGAAAAGAAATAGTAATGGTAGGTGATCACCCCCTGAATGAAAAAGTACACTAAAATCTTGGTATATAGCCACTCTGCATCTAATCAAAAGAAGATACTTCTCAAGATTCCCAAAAGGTGAACTTGTTCTCAAAATCATCCCCAGGAATAAAATAAATTTGATTGTTAACAAAAACAGTCTCCACCCCCTCTCCCACTCCTCATGCTAATGGAAAGGTCTATGGATTTCTGTAAACTCTTCCTGATTACGGAATAGTTGGCATTATGCCTTTTTAGAAGAGCCATGTCATTAGATCCCATCCAAGCATTAAAGTCGCCAGCCCATAATTATTGAGTCAGGAAATTGGGAGAGTGAATTAGTGAGCCAAATTTCCAAAAAATCTTAGCCATTATTAGATTGAGCGCTAAAATCTTTTGCTGGAAAGTACACCTTTTATTGTAGTGGTTAAGGCATCATACTAGAAACAGGGCCAGTGGGGTGGACCATGATTCTAGTCCCATCTCAGCAGATGGGAAGGAGGCAGTGGGAAACAATTTCTGAAAACCACTACCAACAAAATTGCAAGGACTTGTCCAGGCAGTCTCCAAGAATTGACAGAATTGAATGGAAGAAGAATAAAAGACGTTTAGTAATATTAATTTTACGAGGATTGCTGTAGCTAGTTGTATATAAAGAAAGACTGATCATATTTGTATATGGAATGAATCTGATATTGTTAAGTTGCCCTAACAAGTAGTTGCCTCTCAAACCTAGGCCAGCTGGCAGGGAAAAGGAAGAGAAACTTTTATGATCTAAGGGGATTGAAGTATTAATATTGAGTTCTTGCAAAACCAGGGTTGAACATTCAGTATATCAACATTATTAAATAAAAGTGATAGATTCTGATTTAGTTAAGCAAATGAAAGGAGCCATATTTTGGATTTAAAATCTTTTTTTGTTGTTGTTTCAGGTCTGAACACAGAAAGTAAGACTCCAGTAAGTAGATGTTTTGTTTACTCAAATAGTTGGCATGGTTTTACATGATACTTCATTAAAGCAACTTGACATAGACTATAATATTTATTAACTCAATCTGATAATCAAATCTGTTGGACTTAGTATAACATTGTCCTCAACTGTAGCACTATTTTAGGTGCCTCTGCAACTTACTGATTTTGTTTATATTTTTAAAAAAAACTGTTGCTTAAATAATTATTTTCTCTCAGTATTCACCTGTTTTAAATTATTGTCTTAATAATATCCTCTAAAACCATAATCAAACCATGGACCTTGTATCGCCTTTTTCTTAGTTGCAGGAAATATATTTTGGTATGCCATTCATTTTTCTAACAGTTCCTTCCTCACTACCCAAAAGTCTTATTTTTGTATTTTTTCTAAACATTCCTCTTCACCTCCTGATTTTATACATCTCTCTGCCTTCAAAAATCAGTCCTGCAAAGCATTTGTTTTAATCTCTTAGTGCATACAGTATTCATCTCTGTTAAACTTGGTTCATTATTATCAGTGGATCATTTGGTTTATATCCTACCTTTCATCTTCAAGGCTAAGTGTAGATTAAGCCCTCTTCTGATTCCCCTCCCCCCAACAACTGTTGAAATAGTATAACTGAAAGAATACTGTTCCAAAGTTAGCAAGCAAGGTGAAAATGGACTCGAAACTACCATATTTTTCGGAGTATAAGATGCACCAGAGTATAAGACGCACCAAGGTTTTAAAGAGGCATTTTTTTAAAAAAAAGTAGGTAGGTAGATAGAGGGATAGAGAGGGAGAGAAAGAGAGAGAGAAATACAGTAGGTAGGTAGGGAGAGAAAGAGAGTAGTTAGGTAGGTAGGTAGATAAAGTTGTAGAGAGAGAGAGAGAGAGAAATACAATAGGTAGGTAGGGGGAGAGAGAATAGGTAGGTAGGTAGATGTTTCCAGGTGTATTTATCCATATGTTGGAGAAGGACATCGCTGACAATCTGCAGCACCTAAGACTTTGTTTCTGCTGGCACAGCATTTGATCAATGTAATTCTCATCAATCAGTTAAAAAGCTTTCCAAAAAGAAAAAAAAAGTTTTTGCACTCTGCAAACATTCTCCAAAACAGCCTGTTGTTTTTTTCAAAAAAAAAAAAAAAAGAAGAAGGCATGAATAGCCTTGGGGGGGCTTGCAGAGTGCTCCTGGAGGGGGGCAAAAATAAGCAAAAACCGGCCACAAAAATGGGCTGGTTTTTCATCAAAAAAATTGCATGCATAGCCTTATGGAGGCTTATAGAGTGCTGCTGGGGGTGGAAATGGCCCATTTTCTGCTCATTTCTGCCCTCCCCAGCCCCCAGGAACTCTCTGAAAGCCTCCATAAGGGTATGCACGACCATTTTGGTGAAGGGGGTGGGGCTTCGGGAGGCAAAAAATGCTGTATTTGGTGTATAAGACGCAGCCAGATTTTCAGCGTCTTTTTTGAGGAAAATAGCGTCTTATACTCCGAAAAATACGTAGGTATCCCCAGCATAATACCTTTAACCATTGTGCCACACTTCCTGACTATGTGTAAACTAAAGCAAACATAAGGTTTTACACTGAAGGAAAACCATTGCTTTAAGTGATCCTTTAAAAAAAAGCAGCAATATATTATACCTGTCTTCATGTGGCAGTTATCATTCCAAAGGTATCTGTAGGATTACAAAAGTAGGTAATATGAAACTTTTGAGTCTTTTCCCCCATCTTGGCAATTTTCCAAGAAGTGTATATTGCTGCTAACTTTCCTAAGAGTCGTGGTGGCGCAGTGGTTAGAATGCAGAACTGCAGGTGACTTAGGCTGATTGCCGGCTGTCGGCAGTTCGATTCTCACCAGCTCAAGATTTATTTAGCCTTCCATCCTACCAAGGTTGGTAAAATGAGGACCCAGATTGTTGGGGACTTTATGTTGACTCTGCAAACCATTTAGAGAGGCGGTATATAAGTCTTAGTGCTATTGTTAAGCCTTGCACTACTTCAAAGATTTCAAGCCTAACAACAATATACTGCCTTTCCATTAGGATTATGCTAACAGAAAAGGATGATCTATCTTAAGAGCAAAAAATTGTTTCCTCGTATGCTTTAAAAACAAATTGAAATGTTCATCTTAAATTTAGAGTGAAAGCTTCTTTCTTATAATTAACATCTAATCAAAGCCTATAATACTGTTATATGTTGAAAATATTTGCATCTTCTTGATAGTTTAGTTACTTCCATGTTAAGGAGCTTGATTGGTAAATGTACAGAGAGTGCTAGACAGAGTATTGAGTTGAAAATAGTGGATTCCACTTTTCCCATCCATGCATTATTGAAAACAAAAATAATTGGTACTAATTGATCTACTAAAATAATACCTGGAAGTTTTCTCAGAAGTGATTTGCAGTAAGCCACTGGTTCTGTGGATGCCATTTTAATTAATTCCATAATATGTTCAAAGATTATTGCAATTTTAGTACAAAAAGTGATGTTTTATTAAGTTTCAACAAATTTATTCATACTGGCATAATTTCAGCATTTATAATTTTGAAATCTTTAAATTTATATACCCTGTTTCTCTGAAAATAAGACCTCCCCAGATAATAAGTCCAATTGGGCTTTTGAGCGCATGCGCTAAAATAAGCCCTCCTCGAAAATATTGCAACACAGCAGCAGCCATGAGGTGACCACACTTGCTGCCTCCTGCACCTCAAAAATAATAAGACCCTGTCTTATTTTTGGGAAAATACGGTAAATATACCTGTTTTCTGTTGCTTTTCTAGGTAAATATGGACAAATTAAAGGAAAGAGCTCAAAGATTTGGTATAAATGTTTCCACAATCTCCAGAAAGGTAAGATTTTAGGATAAGCAGTATATAGCAAAAGTGAATATTAGAACTTTTTAAAAATATCAACAATATATAACTTGTCATTTTCCTCATATATATATTTTGCTAGAGCCATCACATTTCAAATTACAGATTTTAAAGAATTCACATTAAGATGATAAATAACAATATTCATCATTAGTTAGCTTTTAGCATATATTTTGACTGTCCTGAAGATAAATCTTTTCAGATGAGATTATTAAAATATCTGTGGTTTAATCTTTTTCGTAAGAAAGCAAATCTGCAAGTCCAAGTTTCTTTTCTCATCAAGGTGATAATCTTATGTGCCTCTTCAAATTAATTCAGAGCCTGAATTAAGTAGAAAAGTTAAGATATGAAGGAGAAGCCTAGGCTAGAAATCTTTTCACTGTTTTCTAGTTTCCTTTGTGGAAAGATTTTTTTATTGTTTAATTTTTTGTTTTGTTTTATAGAATATTTAGTGATACCTTTCTTTAAGTTGCCCAAACTTATGTTTTGCCCCTTATCAAGAATAAACATTGAGTGGTTCCTTCTTCTATTAGAAAAATTCCCAAAATTGAATATAAAGACTTTGAATTCATAAGAAAAATAACAATATAGAAAGAATGAAATGTTCTTCAAGAAGTAGAGAAGAGGGTATGGCTGTGATTTAGCTGTAATTTCCCCCTAACTTTTAGTAAATGAACTGTTCCATCCCTCTTGGGATTTGCACATGGAACATTTAATGCATTCCATTCTGTAGGAAGGCACTGAACCTGGCACCAGGGAATTCAACCATATAGAAAATAACTGGAGGTGGAGGCCACTTTCCTTCCCATCCTTTTCTTGGAGGGGGGGGCAGGATGAAATCATGCAAGTGCATTAAAGCCAGAATATGTGGAGAGACAGGTCAGAGTGAGAGGCTGCTCAAATGTTATTAACCTTGTCACCAGGAGAGCACATTTTTCAGGAAAAAAATATGATTTGTCAGTATTTATGGCCAGGTTTCCTTTAAGTACAATTGTGTAGGTGAGGCAGTATATCAATTCTAAGGTTTCTAAGAGCTCCCCACAATTTAATCTGTATAGATTTTGGTTTATTTTTTGTTCTCTTTAAGGATGTGTGTGCAGCTACTTACATTAGCAAATTATTCACATGGAGAAAAAATCAACAAGAGAATGACATGTTTTGGGCTTTAAAAAAATCAATTATGAAATGAATACTATAAATGTGTGTGTTTTTTGCATAAGTTTTTAAACTATGTTTTATCTTTGCGATTGCCAATGCATATGTCAATAATTTCAGCTATTAGAACAATTATCAAGGGCTTAATTTCTTTGTTCTACTGTTAAGTAGAATTCAGCTGCTTAGAAGTAGATTTCCTTTTTCTGAAGAGCATGCTCATGAATTTTATTGAAGAATATTATTGCTTGCTTCAATTAGCCTCTAGTATAGAGTTGCCCACCTGGGTGTTTTTTATAGCTTTTCATCACAGAATAGCCTGGTTGCATAGATCTTTGCAGATTTTTAATGCCATGCATTGCAGCAAAATCTTTACAGTAAACCATTGTCTCTCAGGAGCCACATTTCATTTCCTATTCAAATTGGTTTTGAAAAAGCAAGGGGGGGGGGGACATAGCCAAAGGCAATTTCAAACCTGCTGGGACTGGGGGAGTAAACTTAGATTGGAGTGAACAGCTCTTCAGCTAATCTGTAGCTTTGAACTTATTGCTATTATAGAATCTATTGTTTAAAAAAAATCTTCCTAAAAGATAACATTCATCCTCCTCTTTGGTATAGTAGAAGTGGCAGGTGTTTGCTTGTATTTTTGTCAGGACAGAACCATCAAATAATTTTTTTAAATAAATCAGGAAAGCATTTTTCTTTCCTGAACTAATCATACCCCCTCCTTTCTACTCTCATGGGAGGCCTCCTTTTAAAATTTACCCTCTGACCCGAGGCTGCTGTCCCTTGATTCCAGTGAGTTACATTTAAACTGCTCCCTTCCCTTGTAAATTTCCCCTATGTAGCAGCTGCTCTCAATACCACTCAACCCTTTGCTTCCCACTGGGAGAGCTGATAGCTTGCAGGCTTCTGCTGCAAGAGGGCCACATTGTAACGCAAAATCACATTCTCAGAGAGCTTTTTTTTTCCTTTCTTTTTATGCATAAAACAACTTTGTAGATATCCATCAGGGGATTAAAGAATTTAAGAGAGCCCTAAGATTAGCATAAATGTACAGTATCTTTCTTTTTTCTGCACTGAACTATGTGGCACCATTCTCAGTCAGATAAATGATTAAAACAATTTGTACTCCATATCATCTAATTTAAGGGTTTGGGAGTACCTTATTAACCTTGAGCCTCTCAGAGGTTAGAAATGAGAGGTAAAAATGCTGCCAATGGAAATAAAGGTACAAATATCTAACCTCTGACATCTTAGCATCATTTTTCTCCAACTTTCAAACTCTAGGTTTCAGTTTAAAGTATAAAATTCCTTGCTCAGATTTTATACTTGAACCAAAATATTTGATCTAAACAATCAAGCAGGAATTTATTTATGAACTCACCATTATCAAAATTTATTGTAGAAAGTCTCCTAGTATTAACTCACTCCATTGAGAAAAAGAGAAATCAGTTGGAATGAATATATTATCTTTACTCATGAGTTGAAAGACTAAAATGAAAGAAAGCTTGCTGTTATTCAAGGACTTTCTAGCTGAAGAAACAGAAAAGTGGTAGAAAAGAGAAAAGAAACAAGGTAATTTAGCAGTGGGAAAAAGGATTCCTATCTTTTTGTTGTTCAGTAGCGCTTAACTCTTAACCTGGATATCAGGTCACAAGTATTCTCTGTCAAGCAGAACACAAGTTTTGTTTGTGCCATTAGTGATGGTATTTAGTCATTTTGTCTTCTCTTGGCCTCTTTTTCTATCGCCTTTGATGTTTCCAGGCACCTGGATCTTCTCTGATGATTCTTCTTTTTGCATTATACAGTATGTCCAAAATATTTATGTTCATTCTACGTACATTAAGTTCTCAGTCTAGTTTATGTAGTATTAGATTATAATTGTATTTATTATTATTCATTTATTTATGTATTATCACCCATCTCACTATCCAAAGCAACTCTGGGTTACAAAAACAAAAATAATAAAACATTTAAATTTACAAGAATTAGATAAAACTATGAACTAGGTACACTCATGTTACAGAGGTGGGATATCTCTCTTAAATTCTACCAGCCACTTCCAGGGTAAAATGCCCCCTCACAACCCCAAGCCAATTGGCAGAGCCGGATTTTGAGGCTCTTACAGAAGGCTAAGAGGGTGGAGCTGTATCTCACCTCCAGTAGCAAGATGTTCCAAAGGTCAGAGGCCATGAAAGTAAAGGCTGTTCTCCTAGAACCTGCCAGCTGACATTCCTTGACTGATTGGGTCTGCACATTCTCCTTCTGCCATAGGGAGTGCAGTGGGCCAATCCCATTGAGATGAGACAGAATTTGGTCCCATGATATGAAGGACTTTAAAGATGATAACCAGCACCTTGAATTGGATCAAGAGCAAACCGGCAACCAGTGCAGTGTGTCTAGTTACAGTGTTTACATGCTCAGTCCTAGGGCCTTCTAAAATGGTCTGTCTAGAACTAGTGGTCATGAACTCCTGAGATGCTTTGAGGGTATCCCCAAAGATGACAAGTTGAAGTCCTCCAGATCATAAGCCTAGAGAACTCCACCGCCAACCCTGGGCTGGTCTCCAACAGTACCGCAACAGGGAGGCTAATATAGTAGCAACAGTCCCAATGGATCTGCAAGCCCAGCTTCAGAAATAGGATCTCACAACTGAAAACTTGGAGAACATTGCTCGTGAAGGTTAAAAGAAATAATCCAGGATGACAGCTACTATCCCCTCTTCCCTGCCTTGAAGTCTTTGGCTGGTGCCAAAGACACATTTCTGAGAGGAGAGCTCTCCCCTTGATGTCAGACAAGTCTTGATGATGCACACCAGATCAGCTTGCTTCTTCCCAATAGGGTCGCAAATAAGGGATGCCTAATTATTGACCAACCCAGCATTCAGTAGCAGCAGGCAAAGATCCAAGCCTCCATGTGTCTACTGTCCAGAGCCTGGCCATGAACTCAAAGGGCAAGAATACACCATCAATATTAAACATTGGATGCTTCTTCCCCTGGAATAGCCTTCCCTCTGTCTCCCTTCTAAATTTCCCCATGTCCACCACTACTCAGAAATGTTGCCCTGCTCTGAACCTCAAGTGTCAGCTCTTAGCACCAGCAGAGGTGCCCACTCCTTCCAACCCCCACCCACAATGCTCTCCCCCCCCCCTCCAAAGCTGGTCTCTCACCAATCACCTGAGAGAGGCCACAGTCACATACAACTTCTACCTAACTCTCATGAAGTGGAAGGTGGCAATCATGCAAAACAGCCCTCCTTAGACTGCTACCTAGGGGCAGGCTCCTCAATTGCCTCAGGGAGTAGCTCATCACTCTCATGCCACCAAAACTATTAAACCAAAATTTTCAGATAGATATGTTAAAACTAGGAAAATGATAGTCTGTAAAATAAAAATCATTGTATTCCTTGTGCTGTCTCAGCATTTTAAAGATTTGCCTACCTCCGTTTCAGACTTTGTCCTAAGTAGAAAACATGTCTATTTCATTTCTATAGCATCATCTCTCTGATGTTTTGAGCCTATGAAAATAAAGCTTGTTAGTTCTCCACCTATTTGTATTGGGTTGGCAATGCCTATCAACATAATCTTGTGGTAGCATTAATACTAAGCAATAGATGAGCTTTAGCACTCTCACTTTCAAAAGACTATTCTTGAGTCTTCCTCTTTATCACCATCACAGCATATCTGAGGTCCTTGTTTCATCCAGCAGTTTTAATTTCAGCTTCTTTTAGTCCAACATTTGTGATGAAAAAATCTGAATGTAATAAAGTAAATTCACAGTTATACTGTACTTGGGTGCTCCCCTTCCCCAATTTTGAACCT